AGCTGCAGTTTCAGACCCTTCCGGTTACTGTTACTGTCCATAGCCTGCGCAGGCTCACACCACACACTCGAGGGGCGTTCCAGACGACACTGTCATGCACGTGATGTTACACGAGCTTCCGTACATTTCTGTGAAGTAGGAAACTCAGGCTCGGCAAGGGTGAGTGACTTAATGACACTCCTACAGGCAGGGATGGGAGCGCAAGCCTGCTGAGCGCTGGAAACATACGCTGTAACACTTTCCCCCAATGTTTAAAATGCACACAACTTCCAATAAAAATTTACGAGACTTAGTAGAGTTTTTTTTTTTTTTTTTTAACTCTCTTATATTCCTACCACCTGAGATTTATCCAAATTATACTATAGTCAAACTGACAGTTTCTTCCTATTCCCCACCCATACTTCTATTTACTATTCGCGAACTGCGAAGTGCTAAGTGTGCCCCTCAGTTTCCATAGCCTGTAGTTTCAGAATGAGCCAGTCTTGGCTCTGGCCGTTCCTCAGGGGTCTGCAGATGTCGGCCCCACTCCCAGCCTCCACTGCAGGGAGAGCTGCGCTGCAGAGTACAGAATGCCAGGGCCACAGCTGCCCTCTCTGCCCAATTGCCCCGACTCACGTCAGCTTGCTCTTGGCCTCTGTCTCCTTGGGGAATGGGTACTTCCACTTGGTGATGCGCCCCACCTCCCCGGACATGAAGGTCAGATAGCGCAGGGTCTCCACAGCGACGTTGATGTGCATCACCTTCTTCAGACCCTCCCGCTGCCAGACATAAAAGGCCACCACAGGGGACGCATAGTTTTGGATCCACAGGACGTCCCCGGATTCACTGTCCACAGTCACCACCAGCCCATCGCCATTGGACACAAAGTGGGACATCTCTGCACAGATCAAATAGAAAAAGCATGTCAGGTCACCCCAGTTCACAACCACATCCTCTATTCTCTGGGCAAGCTGCAGTTACTCAGCCAGAGGTAACGAGGATTTCTGGAGTGTTCTCAGATCTCTTCTGAACAACCTCACTTACTTCCAATGAACTGGTTCAGGTCTGTACTATCAAGACACTGAGAGCTGCCCAGCCCATGAACTTCAGATAAGACCATTCTTTCAAAGGCACTTCACTCGGTTCTGTTCTTTATGGTTCTAGTCAATAAGTGAGAGTAAACACCAAGGGCAAAGGAGCCAGAGGAGATGCCTGTTAGTATGGCATTTTAATAAAGTCACTTAAAACTTATCAATCAGGCTGAAAATCAGACCTGAGCCAAAGACACCACTCGTGTCTGATTCACAAGCAGCTCAGGGACTAATGAGAGTTCTAGATCCTAGGCCAGAGAAGACAGAGTCAAGACTGTCAGACCCCAGTGTGAAAACAGCAAAGCTGATTTTAATTTTCATCTGAGTTGGGGGAATGCTGACTAGAGAAATAACTAGGGATGAGCCATGTTTAGAGATGAGGTTGTTAAAGTCATCTGCTGAGTTTAACTCTGCTCTTCATGGGCCTGTAGTAAATCCCTCTGTGACACACAGGGACACAGTGAGGGGCGGCCTCCCCCCTTCTAGCTGAACTTACCATTACATTACTTTAGTTTCCCAATTCCTTTTCCAGGCCCCAGCCACTGCAGCCTTGGGAAGTATTTACTACAAGCCCATGGAAATTCCAGAATCTGGTGACAAAGAGTGTCTCAAAAGAAAACCCAGTTTTTTGCTCCCTTGCACCAGCAGGGACATAGTTTAACATAAAGCCTGACCCTCTGAAGGCGGGCCAGGAGCACTTACTGTAGTCCATGTCGTCCTCGGGCAGCGAGGCTGCGTAGTCAAAGTAGGTGGCATTCCACCGGAGCTCACGGGTTTTGGTGTCATACATGGTAATGGTGTATTCTGGGGAAGACAGACCAGCCCATCACCACAGAGGGTCATGACACCTATTGAGCTGTTGACTTTCTTGAATCATGACAAATACTTCCTCCCTAAATTGCATGGAAAAGCCAGCTTGCCTATGTGAAAAGACCATGGGGAGAAGTGACAGCCCAGACACAAGTGGACCTGGCTGCTAAGGAGATGCCCAGGCAGAGGGCAGAAAAGGCCCATTAACTCTCTTAGCTGTGTATGATAAACTACAAGACAAATCAGTTGCAGAAGAAGCCACTCAGTTTTGAAGCAAAATACAGATGAAAGATGGAGGACCCTGGACTGATTCTTCCGCTGCAAGATTCTCATGTACCATATGGCCTCAGGGCCAAGGTCAAAGCAAGGGTGAGGCTGTAAGTTCCTTCTCTGAGGCCTCTAAAAGACTTACGGTGGCACCTCACAGACTCTCTGCCAGGTAAAAAGGGTTCTAGGAACCTAAGAGTTTGTCCATAGCATTCTTAAAATCTAAAAGAGAGATTTAGGGACATGGCATTTTTTCCTGGCCAGAGGGCACATGTGTCCACCAAAAAGGGAGGGGTGGTGGTGGCAAGGTCACTGTGCATTCTTTTCCCTCCATTTCTCCTTCCTGTTAGGCTTTTGGGCATGCACACACGTGCACCCAGCATGTTTTTGCAGGTGGTGAGGCCAGGTTGGTTTTCGAACCACAACTGGCCATGTGAGGTCCGGCTCCCAATGCACAGTGCTTAGCCACTGTGCTGCAGGGCTGGCCCCATAGCGTTTTCATCTAATGGAGCAGAATATAATTTGGCACAGGAAAAGCCCAAAACATTTTAAAGGGAGTAATATCAGCATGAACTGAAAGAAATAAAGACTGTAAAAATAAAAATAATTTTAAAAAAAGGCTCGAGATTCCCAAATTTCAATGGTTAAAGAAAAGACCAAGAAAGCTATACAACCAGCTATTCCTTATGGGAAAGAAGGGACTTCTCAGGGGGCAGAACCAGCAGCCATTAACAACAATACATCAAGGAATCAATCTCAGAAGAAAAAATTGGGCCCTAATAAGAACTACCTCCTCCCTCCAGAGCAAGGGACCCTGAGATCGCATGCCTGGCAGGGCTTGAGTCACTAAGGTCCAGTATGTGCAATGTGCCACTCTCTCCTCCCCGTCTGAACGGAATGTCTCCTACACCTGTCCTGTCTCTGCCTCACTACCGCATGCTGCGGGGAGGCAGGTGGGCAGACCTTGTCTCTTTCATTCACAGGGAAATAAAGGAGGGAATAAAACTGCATCGAGGAGCCTCATCTACCTCTAAACCTGATGCCGATCCCAAGGTGCTGGACTTTGAGATGGATGCTGTGATTGGCCTTTGGGAGCCTTGGGAAGGGGTGTGTTCTGCATGTGGTAAGCTGCTCCAGGCAGGGAGGACTGGGAGGATGGCTGCAAAGATCACAGATGACGACTGCTCTCCACCACCAATTCTCACCCCACCACATGCATGGTATTCTTCCTATCAAGAGGTGGAGTCTCTGGTACTCCACGCTGAGCTCTCGACTGACCTTGTGGCTTACTTAGATCAAAAGACTGCAGTGCAAATAAGATTCTGGGACTTCTGAGCCCAGAATTACAAGGCACAATAACAGCCACTTTTACTCAAGAGGAACCTCGTATGCACTAGAGGTTCTTGCTCAGCAGGTGAGGCCACATGGGAGGCCCAGGTTTGATTCCTGGTCCACCCTAAAAAGCCAGGTATGATGGTATGCACCTATACCCCAGCTATTCGGGGAGGCTGAGGCAGGAAGATGACAAGCTTGGCCAGTGTAGATAACATAGTGAGATCCCATCTGGTGGAGCCAGGTATGGTGGTGAGCACCTCTGGTCCCAGCTACTTGGGAGGCTGAGGCAGTACAACATGACACAGTGAGACCCTAACAACCCGCCCTCCAAAAATGTGGGCCCAGCAGCCATGTGAAGTCCAGGCGGGTCTGGCCTCTTAGCCTGCTGGTTTAAGTGAGCCAACTGTAGTTCAAATCATGGCCCCAGTGTCTTGAAACACATCCCATATGTGTGTGTGTGTGTATGGAGAAAGGACTATGGCATGACCATGCCCCATTGAGCGATGATTTCTCTCTCTCACTCTCTCTCTGGTGAGCATGCAGGTCCTTTGGCCAAAAACACTTTGAAAAAAGAAAAACAAAAGAATAAATCCAGGTTATCTATTGGGTAGTCAGGAAAGTCGTGATACATTTTTGCATAGAAAAACATGTCCCAACTTTCTTTCTTTCTTTCTTTTTTTTTTTTTTTTAATTTTTTTGAGAGGTTTTTGCTATAGGGCGCGTGCACTCGCCAGACAGACAGAGACAGACATAGAGACAGAAAGCGAGAAATCACCCCCCAGGGGGGATGGTCACACCGCAATCCCTTCTCCTCCATTCTCCTCTTGGGATCTTGGGCACGCACGCACACGCGCCCGGCGTGAGTTTTAAGCCACCGGGTCTGGGACGCGAACCGCGGTCGACTACGTGGGAGTCCAGCGACATAGCCATTACACTAACTGCTGGTTCCCACAACTTTCTTTTTTAAAGCATTATTTATTCACTTAATTTGTTATTATTATTTTTTAAACTCAATCCAAGAGAGACAGAGAGAGAAAGAAAGGGAAAGTTAGAAAGCAAGCTGCCGGGTCCAGAACTTGAACCGCAGTCGGCCATGTGGGCATCCAGTGTCTCAAGTACCACACCACCTGCTGGCCCAGGCAGTCATGACTTTCTTAACAACCTAGTATATAGATAAAGCTTGTATGGTGGTGAACCAAGGTCCCAGACATAGGACTAAATCCAGCCAACTGTATGTGGAGTAAAGGTGATGCATCCTTTTTGAGCCTTCCTGAATTCCATATTCATGGAATCCCGAACAATACATTGGTCATTGTTTAAGGCATTAAGTTAGGGTGGCTTGTTATGCAGCAGTAGAAAACTGAAACAACTTTACACATTCACGCACAGTCTACCTAGCATCAGAGCATGTCCCCATGCCCCTGAACATCCCAATGTACCTGAAAAGCATGCAATTTCTATAGCTGGGTGGAGCTGACATCACTGTGAGGCTTAACTTGATGGAAAGGTAAACAAGCCTGAGAAATCACTACAGCTGCAGAGAAAGGGTCCTGCAGCTCCACATCTTTCCCCTGGAAGGGTGAGAGCCCAGTCAGCCTTGACAGAGCCCAGAATTGGCCTCACTGCGTTTCAGAAAGGCATTCTCTCTTCCACAGCTCCTGAAGGAAGGATCTATTTTCAAAGACTTAGCTACCTGAATATTTAGACCTAAATTTAGTGTTTAACTGCAATAAATTCATTCTAGCTTTTTGTTACGATTTTTTTCTTTTGTTTTCTTGTTTTTCCTTTTAACTTTAGAAAAAGTATATTTACTTCTTCCATGAATGAGAAAAAGGAAAGAGACAAACAGAGAGACAGCACCCCCAACGGGGTCTTGGCTCAGCAATCTACCCCCAGGCTCAGCCAACCCCAGATCATGGGCACAAGTGTCTGGTGTGCTCAGGGTCAGGGAGGACTCTGGGCACAAACCTGGAACCTGGAACTCGACCACGTGAGTCAGCCTCATGGGATATTGGGCTTTACCACTGTGCCATCATCTGGCTTCTTTCACAATTCTATTGCCTCCTTGGTACACGTCAGATGCTGTGCATATAACATAAATAAAGCAGGTCCGTGTGACAGGATTCCCTGTTCACACATTCAAATGCCTGAGTACCTCCTACATGTCAGGCAATACACCTGGTGTGCGGGCACAGCGGATGAGCAAAACAGAGTCTTGCCCTCAGGGAACTGATATTCTAGTGAGGGAGGCAGAAAACAGACACACAAAATGTTTAGGTATGTAGTGACAAGTGTTAAGGAAGAGAAGAAGGCTGAAAAGACAAGGAACAAGATGGTGTGGTGAAGAGGGTGCTATTTGTGCCTGAACAGGGATAATGACAGGCTGTGAGCTGGCTGTGACAAGAGGCTATAACCTGCTATCTGTGCCCCCAGAACAGGGGAGCTGAGCACCCCTGGACAGGGCAGGAGCTGTGAGGCTGGGGTAGGGGTTTCACAGAGAAGGGGACATTCGAGCAGAGCTGTGGAAGAAGAGGACATTTGCCAGGCAAAAACAGGTGTCCCTGGTGGAGAGGGGCATGCCACAGTCTTTAAAAATAGCCCTGCTGTTCTGGGGGCTGCAGGGAGGTCATTCCAATTGGAAAAAGTTTAAATGAGGAAAATGCAGAAAGGGAGGAGGGGAGATGGGCGGCAGTGGCCTTGCAGGGCTTTGTGGGTCATAGCGCATTTTGAACTGAACCTCGTGGGCAATGGGGGGCCATTAAGGATCTTATCAGGAGAATGACACAGTCAGACCTGGGTTTGGAGAAGGCAGATCTAGCCATATTCTAGAGCATGCAGCCAGGAGGCAGAGAGACAGAGGAGGCTCTCCTTCAGTCTCTTTCTGGAAACAGGCAGAGTGTACACGACAAAGCTTGGTTTCTTACCTGTTCGCCCGAGATACAGAAGAGAAGTGGACGGGCAGAGACTATCTGCAAAGGCCGAGGACAAAGTCTGCTGCTTCTCCCCAGTCAGGAGGTCGATGACGTACCAGATGTCCTGCTTTTTGCCTAGAAGGTCCAAGGACAAGCTGTCACCTACAGCAGCCCTATGTGGAAAGAAGTACCACTGCCAAACTACCAGCCAGAGATGTCCTCTGTGCTGAGGGGCCAGGCCTGAAAGACATTTCTGGTGTGTCTGAAGGTGACATAGTAACAGTAATGGTAATGTGGAAATAATAAGACTTCTTGGGTCACTTGGCCTTAATATAATTTTTTTTAGTTTATTCATTTTGGGGCCAGCAGACGGCATAGTGGTTGTGTCACTGGACTCCCACATGGCCAACAGTGGTTCAAGTCCCAGACCCAGCGCCTTGAAACCCACGCTGAGCGTTTGTGCGTGCATGCCCAAGATCCCAGGAGGAGAATGGGATTGTGGAATGGCTATTTCCCCAGGAAGGGGTGATTTCTTACTTTCCCTCTCTTGTCTCTGTCTCTCTCTCTTTGGAGAATGTACATGCCCTACTGCAAAAACCTCTAAGGAAAAAAGTTTATTTTATTTGTGAGAGAGAGTACATGTATACATATGTATATGCCCGACAGGGGCTGTGGGAGACCTTCAACAGGGTCTCATCTCACCCTGACCCCCTGCCCCTATCCTTCCAGCTCCTCAGCATCTTCGGTACATGCACCTGGTATGTCTCCAGGTCAACTCAGAATCTGAACCTACAGTCAGCCACGTGGCTTCCAGGACTGCAGTTCCATCTGCTGCTGCCTGCGCCACCGAGGCTGGACCCTTTTGGTAATTTAATAACCTAATCACGATACGAAAATTCCTCCAAACCTAGTAACTTAATTATATCTAAAAAAGTTCTCCAGACTTTCAATTTAGAGCTGCGTGCTTTGATTAGTGGCCTTAAATATGAAAAGTCTTGCTGGTAAAGGGCAGTCCTTTTCCTGTGGACTAGGAGCTACATAAATGTAGAAATGTACCCAGAGGTTCATCTCCCTGGTAACCATCATTCATATTTCTCAACAGCCCTACTAATTAGACCACACGTGAGGATCTAGAGTTACTGTTCATAACCATAATTAGCTTGTACCTGTGACGGTCAGCAGAGCCGCAGCTAGATACTAATGAAGCCGAAGTTATCTCAGCCTCCATTCCCGGTCCGTATGTCATTCCCCAGCTACAGCCCATCCCCTTCAGCCCCGTCAGCTGACAGCACAGCCAAGCAGCCCTACTAGAAAACCCAAAGCACATGTGTCTGTGGCATATAGACCAGAGCATCCTGGTAATGGCGAGTCAGCAGCATGTGTCTCTGATTAGGTCAACACATTCACTGAGGCGAATCTCTGTATGGTAAGGCATGGCTGTCAGGTCATGTGTATCTTCCTACCTCACTGGAAAAATTTCCAATTCTAGGGACTCTTAGAAGCAGATCAGTGAGATGCAGGGAAGGTCACAGGACATAAGAATTTGCTGAAGCCACACTTAGTTCTAAAAGAGCATGCACACCTATGTTGTGTGTGTGACTCATCCAGGGAGAACTCTCTTCTTCATAATAAAATCTTACTACGAAAAAGATCTAATGATAGGGCAAAATGTCACCAAATACGTGTGACGAGGAACCCTTTCTTTCCGGCATGGCATCCATCTGGTGACCTCAAGGACCATTACAGTCTGCGTAACCAAGCTATTACTTTAATAGATTGGGTAACCTCTGTGGTTTTAAATACCCTTAGTGAACTCATTTAAGAGGGCACCACTCAGACCAGCAGTTGGAATAATGGCTATGTCACTGGACTCCCATGTAGTTGACTGCAGTTCAAGTCCTAGACCCAGTGGCTTAAACTCATGCCAGATACACGTGCTTGTGTGCCCAAGATCCCAAGAGGAGAATGGAAGAGAAGGGATTGTGGTGTGGCCATCCTCCTTGGCGGGGGGTGATCTCTCACTTCCGGTTTCTCTGTCTCTCTCTGTCTTTCTAGCAAGCGTACGTGCTCGATAGCAAAAACCTCTAAAAAAAAAAAAAAAAAAGAGGGTACCATTCAAAAATGATGGAAATACAGAATCCTATAGTAAACTTTAACTGATGAGTAACTGGCAAGAGTTGCAAGACCAGACAGGAAACAGTGACATAGACAGTGAGAAGACAATCAGAGAGGACCCAGGGCATGGATCAGCAGAGAATGACCCCATGCTAATCACTTCCTTCAAATCCTTAGGGTGGGGATTTCTCATTCCGAAGATGTGAAAGGCCACAAGCCCCCGTGTCACTAGCAGAAACCTAAAATCGGGCCTGCACTTGAGACCCCAAAATGCATAAAGCTCCTAAAGCATGAATAGGCAATGAACACTTTCAGTTCCTCAGAAAGAAAGCTGCTGTAAAAATACGGGCTATCATTACTACTTACTACGGTTTCAAGGTAAATACAGCTCTCCTTTGTGTGACAAAATGCATTTTTATTGACATTTTGGCAGCAACATGGCAAAAGAAAAGCAGGCGATCTGCCACTTTGAGAGGTGTGACCCCTTCGGTATAAAGGCAGCTTATCTAGGCAAGCTAAGTGTGGTTTCTATCAAGTCTTCTGATAACAGGAAATACTGAGAAAGCCCTATAATTAACAGGCAGAGCCTGGCTTCCCTTCTCGGCTCAGACTATTGTATTCACTTTACATTTCATCCAATTGCCACTGGGAATGTTGCAATCTTGAAATCGAAGGACTGGGTCAACACAGCGGCTGAAAGCTTGTTAAATGAGTAACCACGTTAATGTTGTCAATTCTTCTCTAAAGCTGGGGGGACACTTTCTTGGTCAGCTCATCCTGGCGTGGACAGCACCCACAGAACAACCAAGACAAGAAAGGTCTTTACTGGCGACGGGGGCAACTGCACCCCTCTCTCAACACGCCACTTTCTCAGACTCCAGGATACATGGTCAAAGGGAAGAAATTTTGGTGTAGAAGACAGGAACTCTTACCCATGTAGAGGATTCCATCTGAACTCCGGCATGGGGACGCTTGCACCAACTCTGGGATGGTAAAAGGAAGTTTCTTGAAAAAAAATTAAAAAGAAAGAAACAAGTAAGTTAGCCAAATCTTGTGCAATTATTACAATTTTACTAGACAATCTGTTTCTGTTGCCCAATTCTGCTAAAAAGAGAGAAGCCCTTGGCAACTGGGAGTTTTCCTAACTGGAGACCAAGAAGAGGGTGCCACCGGCTTCCATGTCCGACAAGCCCTGGGCTCCCAGGTCCCTGAGGTCTATAAACACTAACTGCTTTACTTGGCACCAGGATGCAGAGCACCCCCACACACACCAGGGTGACGCAAACCCTTTTTGAAAACGTTTATACAAACATGGAGACTTATACATTCTTCAAAATTCTAAGGGCAGGAAATAGAGTTCTGTCCTGGAAAACTGGCCCAGAGGTGGCTGGCTTGAATAGGATGACAATGCCTTTTAGGCTGGGAGGGAGACAACAGAGAAATATTGCAGCGACGTGACCTCAGTACGAAAGTCACAAGTTTTGATGTTTTCTTCGGTAAATAATTCTCTAGTGAGCAACAGAAACAAATCGAGCCTTTTGGTTTTAAAAAGGAAATTAGCGTGGATGTCACAAAAAGAAACTCAAAGGAATCCAAATGTTTCAACTGCATTTCATCATAAACCGATTCTTCCAGTCTCCAGCTGACATCTGACGGGTGCTTTTGGTTAGTGCTTGTTTCAGTATACGTTATTTTTGGAAACTTCTGTGTTCTTGAAACTGTTCTTATAGATAACCTGCTTTTATAGAAACTCCGGGCTTCTCCCACACTGTCGCCTTTTTCTTCAAGAAAGAAAAGATTTCTCTCTAGCTTTAATAAATGGAACTCTAAATACTAATTAAGAAGTTGGATTCCTATCATCCCAACATTAAAATTAAGCCCCAGAAAAGGAAGAATGCCACGGGGAGGTTTAATGACTGGGTTTTCACTAGAGGTTTCTGAGAACCAGAAAGTCGTTTTGTCTCTGTAGAGCACTGTCACAGGCCTCCTGATCCAGGGCCCGAGCAGGGAGACATGATGTTTCAGGAGCTGCTAAACCACAAACGGGAAGGGGGACGAGGTGGCGGTTAGCGCATCCTGTGGAAGTCAGACCTCGGCAAGTGTGACGCCGACACTGAACTGCCTCGGGCACACGCCTTCACTTCTCCAGGCTCGGTCTCTACTCCTCACCGTGGAACAACCTCTACAGGGGGCAAGGTTCAAACGAGGGGACTGACACACATCACTCGACATGCTTCCTGGCAAACCAAGTGCTTATAGAATGGGGATCCAGTAATGGAGGTGATGGTGACATACAAACAGTGATCCACAGGCTTGCTCTTCTCCCATTGGTGTTAGTCACAGGCATTTGTAAAATAATTTAAAAATACCCAAATGAGAACTCAACAATCCACTTATGGTCTAGATCTCACTTGGAGGCTTTTAAAACTTCCTACTCAATCAGGCCAGCAGGCGGCATGGAGTTTAAGGTACTGGATCCCACATGGCCGACTGTGAGTCAGGACCCTGCAGCTTGAAAATCACATCAGGCATGTGTGCATATGTGCACAAAATCCTAAGAGGTGAATGGAGGAAAAGGGACTGCAGCACAGCCATCTCCCTAGGGCACAATGTCTCACTCCTCCCACCTTGCTCTGTCTCTGTCTCTCTGGTGAGCACAGGTATCCTGTAGGAAAACTAAAAAACAAACAAGCCAAACCTTCCTACTTAAGCATAATATACAAATGGAGAAGCACTCACACCATCTAGCTCAGCTGATTTTTGTAAAGTGAACGTACTTGTGTGACCAGCATCCAGATGAAGGAAGAGAACACTTCTTGCACCCTGGCAACCCTCATTTTTAGCCATAATGCTCCAGGGTAACTATTACCCTAACTTCAGAACAGCACAGACTGGTTCTTCCTGTTTTTAAGCTTTATATAAATGAATTGTTCCTTGCGTAGCCCTTTTCTTCGTAATGTTTTTGCCCATTGTTATGTTTGTGGGATTCGTCCACATCGTACGTGCAGCTGCAGACGGCGAGTCCTCACTGCCGCGCAGCATTCCACTGCATGATAACCCCATCATGTATCCATTCTACTGCTGAGGCCACTCGGCTCGCTCCCATGTTTTGGTCGTTATACACAGGGCTGCTGTACCTTTTGGTGTGTGTCTTCTGGTGAACGTAAACATGCATTTCTGTTGGGTACATAACCTGAGAGGGCATGACGTGTCATAAGGACTCTGGCCACGGTGTCAAACTGTCTTCAAAACCAGGGCACCAATGCGCACTTCCACTGGCAGAGAGCGAGCACCCTGGGGGCTCCTTCATGGCCCACTTTTCTCATTTCAGTCATTCCAGTGGATGATACTGTAGCATGCTGGGTTGTAGTATGGTACTGGGAGTTTAACGTGCATTGCCCCAGTGACCAATGAAGCTGAACACCTTTTCCTGTCTTTCTTGACTACTTAAATACCGTCATTTGCCACTTTTCTACTAGCTTGTCTGTCTCCATTTTAGTAATCCATGGGAGTTCCTTATAAATTCTGAATACATATATCTGTTGGAGATATATATTGTTATACACACACACATGCACACACACAAATATATACAAATATTTTACAGCCTCCTCTCTTAATGAAGAAAAGTTCTAAATTTTAATCTAATCTAATCTATCCAATGTATAATCTTGTTTCCTAAATTTATGGTTAGTATATAAAAAAATACACACACACACATAAAAATATATATCTATATACATTTATCTTTTATCTGGGGAGCTTTTCAAAAATCTTTATGACTCAGGCAGTCAGCCGGTGGTCTGGTGGTTAAGGGCGCTGAACTCCTACATGGCTGACTGCGGTTCAAGTCCTGAACCTGGCAGCTTTCTCTCTCTCTCTCTGTGTCCCTCTCTGGTCAAATTAAAGTAAATAAAGCTAAATAAAATAATTTTAAAAATCCTATGACTAAGATTAATTAAATCCACACCTTCTGGGACTAGAACCTAGACTTAGTATATTTTTTAGTTCCTCAGGTTATTATAATGTGTAGCTAAGGTGAGAAACCACTGGTATAAATTCTCTAATGGAGATGGGGGTAGAATATCATATCCCTTCTCTAAGAAGTCATCTGATTAGAGGTGAGGGAAATGTTGCAATCTACTTCTGCCCTCCATTCTCCTCTTGGGATGTTGGGCATGCATGCACACGTGCCTAGAGTGAGTTTCAAGTTTCCGGATCCATGATTCGAAATGCGGTCATCCATGTGGGAGTCCAGTGATGTAACCATTACACCATCTGCTGGTCCTTATAGTTTTAAAAAATATTTTAAAAATATTTTTGTTATTTATTTATTTATTTATTTTGAGACTTTTTTGCTATAGGGCATGTGTGCTCGCCAGAAAGACAGAGAAAGAGACTGAAAGTGAGAAGACACTCCCCAGGGAGGATGGCCACGCTGCAATCCCTTCTCCTCAATTCTCCTCTCAGGATCTTGGGCATGCACACACACACACACACACACACACACACACACAGACACCTGGTGTGAGTTTAAGCCACCGGGTCCGGACTTGAACTGCAGTCAACTACATTGGAGTCCTGCGACACAGCCATTACACCAACTGCTGGTCCCAATATTTTCCCTTTTTTTTTTTTAAGAATTATTTTATTGGGGCCGGCAGTGGTTAAGGTGCTGAACTCCCACATGGTCAACCACGGTTCAAGTTCTGGACCTAGAGGCTTGCTTTCTTACTTTCCCTTTCTCTCTCTGTCTCTCTCAGGTCAGATTAAAAATAATGATGATAGGGGACCAGCAGTTAGCATAATGGCTATGTCGCTGGACTCCCACGTAGTCGACTGCGGTTCGAGTCCCGGACCCGGTGGCTTAAAACTCATGCCGGGCGCATGTGCGTGCGTGCCCAAGATCCCAAGAGGAGAATGGAGGAGAAGGGACTGCAGCGTGGCCATCCCTTCTGGGGGGTGATTTCTTTCTTTCTGTCTCTCTGTCTCTCTCTGTCTGTCTGGCAAACGCACGCGCCCTATAGCAAAAAAAAAACCTCTCCAAAAAAAGAAAAAAATAATAATGATGATAACAAATAAAATAAAATAAACAATTCTTTAAGAATTAATTTTATTTATTTATTTACTTAAACTTGACCAGAGATGGACAGAGTGAATGAGACAGGGAGAGGGAAAGTGAGAGAGGGAAAGTGAGAATGCAAGCCTCCAGGTCCTGGTCTCAAACTGTGGTCGGCCATGTGGGAGTCCAGCACCCTTAACCACCATACCACCTGCTGGCCACGATCTCTATATTTTTAATATCCTATTTAAGAGGGGCCACCACATGGTGGTTAAGGCCTTGAGCTCCTACATGGCTGATTACAGTTCGAGTCTCAGACCTGGTGGCTTAAAAATCATGCCGGGCATGTGTGTGCATGCCTAAAATCCTGAGAGGAGAATGAAGAAGGGATTTCAGCATGCCACCCCTGGGGTGTGGTAGGCAATTCACACTTTCCCTCTCTCTGTCTCTCTCTCTCTGGCAAGCACACATGCCCTATGACAAAAACCTAAAAAAAAAAAAGTCCTATTTAAGAAATCTTTATCTAATATAAGGTCATAAAGATGCTCCACTACTTTTTTTTTTTTTAAGTTTTATTATTTCCCAATTCACATTTAGATATGCAATTTTTCAGGAACTGATTTTCCTGTGTGTGGGTATTAGGGGTACAGAGTCAAGATTTTTTCCTTATAAGGATATCTCAATTGAAATAACCATTTTATTGAAAAGGCCATTGTTCCCTACTGTACTGCTGGGTCACCTTTGTCATAAAGTCAAGAGACCATATGTGTGTCTCAATTTTTTTATCTAATGAACTTGTCAAAAATCCTTATGACTGAGATGAATTAAATCCATACCTTCTGGGACTGGGACCTAGCCTTAGTATTGTTTTGGTTTACCAGGTTATTCCAATGTGTAGCTAAGGTGGAAAACCACTGGTCTAGATTCTCTAGTGGAGATGAGGGTAGACTATCACATGCCTTCCCTAAGAAGTCATTTGATTAGGGGTGAGGGGAGTGCTGCAATCTACATCTGCCCTCCGGAGCTGAGGGTTACCAAAGAGCAAACCTGGGTATAAAGGGAATGTTATATCTTTCCAGTATGGTGACTGGACCATGAGAATCTACTAGTCTATGTCAGCGTTTCTCAGTTCTAGCACATGATTACAAAGCTCATTAGACCAGCAGGTGGCATGGTGGTTAAGATGCTGAACTCTGGGAACAGCAGGTGGCGTGGTGGTTAAGGTGCTGAACACTCCTACATGGCTGGCTACGGTTCGAGTCCCAGATCTGGCAGCTTGCTTTCTCAATCTTTCGCTCTCTCTGGCTCTCTCTGGTCAAATTAAAATAAATGAATGAATAAATAAAATAAATAATTATATTTAAAAAAAAAAAAAAGATGCTGAACTCCCACATGGCCAACCATGGTTCGAGTCTCAGACCAGGTAGCTTGAACAATCACTCTGGGAGCATGTGCATGTGTGCCCAAGATCCCAAAAGAAGGATGGAGGAGTAGGAACTGCAGTATGGCCATCTCTGCCTGGGGGGTGATTTCTCAGTTTCCCTCTTACTACCCCTCTCCAGTGAGCACAGGCACACCATGGCAAAAGCCCAAAAAACAAAACAACAAAAAATAACTTGTAAATATCTCTAAAAAGACACTGATGTCCAGGTCCCATGCCAGACTGATTCAGGCTCCTCGGTCTAGAACTCCCGAAAGTACAAAGAAGCAAAATATACTCACTGTCAGGCCTTCATTGTTCTTGCCTCCAAGTGTGTACAAGCTGCCATCATTGGGATCTGGGAGGAAGGCAGGCCTGGAAATTCAATAATAAGTATCAATGAAATCTACAGTCCAGGACACAGAGCAAAATATCAAAGCCAGCAACACCATAACTGAGGGCGGGGGGCTAGAGTGTGTGATTGTGTCTGTTTGTCTAAGACGATCCCAGCCACTGCTCTCTCATTCACCACAGATGAATAAAATATCCCTATGGTATAGTATACTACACTTGAATAGAAAAAAAAGCAACCTACAAAGGAAAAATTGCACAAAGCCATAGAAGTAAATCATTACTTGGTCAAAGTACTTTGGATGAAAGGTACAGTGATTGAAAAAGATCCAGCAAGTCTACTTTTCAATGTCCACATCAATGTGCCCAGGACTTCAACAACTGGTACTTATAGCATGGCAAGGTATATATACAGGTAGAACAAATCGGCCTTTAGTTTTCAAAGACACTTATTATTATTTTTTTAAGAGTTATTTTATTTAACTTTTTTTTTTTTCCTTTTTAATTGGACCAGCAAGGGACAGAGTAAGAGAGTGAGAGAGTGAGAGAGAAAGTGAGAAAACAAGCTGTCAGGTACAGGACTCAAACTATAGTCTGCCATGTGGGAGCCCAGCACCTCTAACCACCACATCACCTGCCAGCCCCAGACACTCATTTTACAATGGCAGCAATAAAAGTAGTCTTGGAAAGACTGAAATCAAAGAGAATTTTCCAAGGAGACAGATCTAAGTCTCTGTCAGTGGCTTCCCATGAAGCAGACACAAGGTGGTCTTTGGTACTGCTAATCTGCTAAAAACTGAATTACGACTAGAGTCACTCAGAAAGCCCTTGCTGAATCTTTTCTCTATTTAGGACCTTTCATCATTTGAGTCTCTAAGTAAGATATCCAACTTTAACTCTAACACATACCCTCTAGTAGCAGGTCACTGTCACCTTTCTACTCTGGATATGACACAGCAAAGAGGGAAAAATCCTGTCCTCCTGAAGATTTTGGAAGTTTAAGTTCAAAATTCAAGTTCATCTCAAGTTAGTCTTTGTAAAACCACTGCCCTCCTCCCCATCCAAGTTAAGCTTCCCACACAGCACCTATAAGACTCTCTACACCTTCACACATTCTTTTAAACTTACACACACACGTGCATGTGCATGCACCCCCACACACAAATATTCCCAGCAACTAGCCTCATACACAGTGACTGAATGAATAAGACAGTGAATTAAAGGGAAGCACTGAGCAAATCAGAACACTTACTCTTCCACATGTGTTGGGATCTGCAGGACTGGGTCTGTGCAAAAGAACAACAAAGGCATCATCAGACAGGCTTTACGATGTCGAGATTCCCAGAGACGTCCGAGGACTGTGGCTTACTAGACTGACAGCAAAGGTGTACCTACGTGAGATGATGTACATGAAGGCACTCCAGGAAACACACGGGTGGAGACATAAATGTAAGCGCGTATGATTGTCACCGGGATAGGACAGGGAACTGAGACCAGAATGCTATCAAGAAACTTGGCTGTAACTTGGGGGACAAACACAGAAGGAAGAACCAGTCACAATCCACAGTGGACAAGGGGTGAGAGTGTCACTACAGGACACATCCAAGTCTTATAAACCTAAATAATTACCTTCCCAGATACCTGCAGTAGTACTAGACAGTCTCGTTAGACAAAATAAAACCAAAAGAAAAAAAAAAGGAAGGAAAGGCTTAACAATTGATTGTGACTGGATAGTAAATGGGTATTCTCCTTTGGAGCAGCGTAAAGCAGTCCTAGAGCCTTTAAGTGTCCATTTTCTTTGATTCTCTTTGAGCAATTAATTAATTTCTATAAACTCTAGTTTACATAGAGAAAGCATTTTGTATGAAGATGCTCAAAGTAGCATTCCAAGTGACCTAACCACTCAGTGATATGGTTAATTATGTACTGTCCACTTAGCAGGAAAGTAAAGCTTCCAGAAGGGCTAATGAAGTTTTAGAACATGTGCGAATCGCCATGCTCTTATGTTCAGGAGAAAAGAGAACATGGTACACAGGGTATTAACGGAACATGGAGAAAACCTTCCATGGGCATAGAAAAAACTGAACGGAAAATTGTAAGCTACTTATGTTGGAAATATCTTTGTTCCTATCTTCTCAAAATTCTCCAAAAGCAGGCATTATCTTTTAAATTGGGAACTTTTATTCCTTCTCAAAGTCAATTTTCTGGGCCAGCCCCATGGCCAAGGGAGCCAGATTCCACACAGCCTGGCTCTGGCAACTTGGAAAACACACTGAGCATGTGTATGTGTGCCCCAAATCCCAACGGGACAGAGAAATGGAGGAAAGCGGATTACGGAGTGACCACCCCACTGGAAAGTACTCTCTCTCTCCCCCTCTGTCTCTCTGGTAAGTACACTTGCCCACAAACAATTAAAAAAAAAATTGACTTCATATCTGCAGCAGTTAAAAAAGGCAGAATTTCTCTTTCCC